GTTTTCCGAGGACTATGAAAAAGGTCCTCGGAAGGTGTGTATGTCCTCGGAAGTAGCTATATATCTGTATTTTTGTCCTCGCAACATATAGCAATCCAAGTACACACACACACATACACACACACACACACACAGACACACTAACTGCAAAGACTCCCTTTTTGTGCTTCGCACACGGGAGTCAAAAATATTGGGAACTTTCATTCGTGTCAATGAAGAAAGAGTTTAACGATGTTATAGTTCGTTTCAGTTAATTAATTATTGGGTATTTCTATATACAGTTTCACGAAAGTTTTGAATTTCAGTAAGCACACTTATGTCGAGCACGCTTATTCATGCGATTGTTTTTATACTTTACAACAATTATATTGTCTGTTTTTTTTAAATGCTATACTCAAACTTACCTCCTTAATGTTTATATTTAGGAATAAACTTAGTCAAGAATGCAAATTTCAATTTATTAAATGCCGCAAACTACGTATATTCCATTTTTAATGTTGTTGATAGTTGTATTAAGTGACCATAATGCAGTATAACTTTGATATGATGTTGTGTCAATAAAATTATTATATTTGTTGGTGTTTTAATTTATACTGTCACTATCCTCAAGACTAGTTTGAGGAAATTTGCAACGTGAATATACTACGTCTATTTATGTCTGTCATAACTGTGTTAGAGCGGCACAGTGATCGTAATGTTGTTGTTGTACCTGTCAGATGATAGAATTCAACCTCGGGTTGAACATTTTTACATATAACCAGTGTATGAGCGCACGTTGATTTAGTAACCACTGCGCCGCGTGACCTAAACAAAAATTGTCCACAGTTCTATGCCAGAGATATCAAGAATATATTTATATATACAAGGATATGTACTAAGAGAAATATGATTGGATTGCATTTTCCATTATATGCAAATAGAAAGTTGTCTCGCCTTCACAAGGACGTGAGGCGAATAATTTGTACCATTGGATTTATAAGAGTAAATTTTGTACTTACCAAAGCAATGGAGAAAGACCTTGATGGAACATACACACGTTTCTTGCGTCATGCACAAAACATCAACTAGAGTCAATATGTCACAAATAAAGACCTCTTTGGTAATCTATTGGAAACAATCAGAAAACATAGACTAGCGGGATACTACTTCAGACACAACGAACCAGTCCCCTGTGGAAACCAACCCATAGACAGATATGACCTGGCAGGCCTTTTGATGACTGATGTGTTTAAACAGAAAACATGTACGGTCGCCGAGTGTTCTGAGAATGGGGAGGGAAGACATGGAGTCCACTGCTTCGGATGTATCAAACCTGTCTCAGATTCTACAAGACGATTCTCCAAAAGAAATTGAATATTTGCTCCCTGATGAGTCCCTTATGACTTTCTTGGAGGACTCGTATAACTTATCGATAATGCCACTGAATTCTGCCCTGATCTCAGGCTGTTAATATCAAAATAATGAAATACAAAGCAACGACAAAATAAGAATATAGCGTATGACATCTAGGCTTGCAAAACACTACAAGACCGTTACTAAACAAGGGGAAACAGATAACAGGACAATAAAACTCCAACTGATACGAAACTATAGATGTCACGTGCAATCCCAGACGAATACACAATGATTATAACAAGTACCACAAATGATATTTATTGGTGATCCGCTCCGCTAGGATTGCCCTTATAATCACTTTTGTTGGCGATCCGCTCCGCTAGGATTGCCCTTATAATCACTTTTGTTGGCGATCCGCTCCGCTAGGATTGCCCTTATAATCACTTTTGTTGGCGATCCGCTCCGCTAGGATTGCCCTTATAATCACTTTTGTTGGCGATCCGCTCCGCTAGGATTGCCCTTATAATTGGCGATCCGCTCCGCTAGGATTGCCCTTATAATCACTTTTGTTGGCGATCCGCTCCGCTAGGATTGCCCTTATAATTGGCGATCCGCTCCGCTAGGATTGCCCTTATAATCACTTTTGTCGTTTTGTGTGTCTGTGTGTGTACATTTCCAGTGTTTTCACGTATGATTTCTTCTGTGATTTTTTTGGCTTGGTCGATTTCTTTCAAACTTGGCAGGTAGGTCACACTTTCACCCTAGTTATAAGGAAAAATCTGAAAAAATGTTTTGGCCCACCGTTGCCATAGCAACAGCCAAAAAACTGATTTTTGGATAGCTTCGCGCCAAATGTATCTCCTACAAATTTGGGATAAAACACTTCAAACATAGCTCATTCTACTCAGCTTGAGTGTGGGCACAAAGTTACTATTTGAATTTTTGATATCTGTTTTCATTACCGAGAAATTTGACCCCAAAGTTGGGGTAACTTTTCACCAGCAACAGCTCGGCTGGTTTTGTTCATACTTCACAGGTAGGTCGTGCCGTCACTAATTGGAAAAAAATCCTGGCCCACCACTGCCATTGCAA